TTTTTTTTATTACTGCATAAAATGTATATTATATAATTGTATAAACTGAATATTTGAAACCTGTTGGATATTCTTTTAGAAAGAAATTACAATATTCTGCCGATTCAAATTTTGTGATTTTTTGTTTAAATGAAAGGTAGTGGGCTCTACATGTGTTGTCACGAGCTCTTATTAACTGCTGTAGCAAAAACACTAATTTTAATAATACAGCGTGCGCCAGAGAAACTTACTTATTTGAAAAAATTCCCGCGCGGTGAGTATATAATGTGCCGTTAGAAAAGAAGCTCTCGACTGCGAAGGCCCGCTGCTCTCTAGTCCACAGTATGATGGCAACTGACTGGAAGGAGAAAAAAACTTGGGAACTTCCCCCTCCAGATACGCCCCTTCTCGCCCCTCTAACCGACCAAATCACCGCGCGGGAATTTTTTCAAATAAGTAAGTTTCTCTGGCGCACCCTGTATATTATCATTAACAGAATTAACGTTTATCTGCCGTTACTTGTAGTTGATCTTAGCAGTTTTGTTATGGATGTTATGCAAGTAATCCATTTGCAGCAACCGTGTGACACGTGACCGTTTTGAAACAAATTCAGTGCATATAATACGTGCGATTCATTACCACACACTGCAAATCAAGGTGGAAAGTAGGATATCCTACAACAGTTCACTGCAACATAACACGTTCAGAACTTGGTTCATTTTTAGACACATGTTTAATACAGTAGTCACATTAGTATTGTGCCTATTATTTTGCGTGAAGTGATTGAATTGTGCCAGAATTTTTAAACCTTCATTTCATCAGCTTTGAAGAAACGTACTGAACGTCTTAAAATTCACATTTTTGAAGTTTCTTTTCCTTATAGTGCATACGTAGTACTTTTCTGTCGTAGCGTATCTACAGTTATTTTCTATGTGCAGTGTAATCGCAAGGATTCAGCTACTTTATTCTTATTTAATCCATTCATACTCGCTCTTGATCCTCGATAACAACCGTCTACGAACCTCGGTGCAATAATTGCCATATGACATTCGTTCACAGTTACAAGTCGAAGATTGTGAAAGAGACTCTCGAATCCATCGCCAATAGCATAATCTTCCCCAAATGGTCGAGTGGCATCTCTTCAACCGACTTCACCACCACGGATGTCTCAAACGTCGCCAACGCGGTGGCCATCGGCAACGGCGCCACTGCCTTAAACACGCGCCCCGCGACGGAAGTTGTCTCGCCCTTCTACGCGCACGGCGGCTCCGTGGGCGGGCTCGTGAAAGCGAAGGCCTCGCACGTGAAGGAGCACGTGCACGCCGCCAGACCATGGTTGCACGGAGCGACCAACCTCAAAAACATCATCGAAGGGTGGGTTACGAGTATTGGCGACCGATTTGGACACAGATGGTACAGAATAAATGTTACAGCCTTCTAGGGTATATCAAATCAAAGATCATGTTTTTACTACAAAAATTTCTCGTTTGGAAGGCAGAGAAGTTGGTTGAAGATATAAATTAAAATCCAACAACTCTATGCATTTTGGTGTAATAAATATGTGAATTTAAGCTTTACATTTTGAGTACCATTCCGTAAATTTATATATCTTATTACATAAGTATGATTTGCAAGCGACCTTTTTCATAAAACTTTTGGAAGTGAATTTGCCTGTTAGCTTATACTTTCTTCTCCAGGTACAAATCGAATATCCTGAAGCACACATTGAACTCCATTAGCAACAGTATATTACCCACATGGACAATTGGTGGCATCAATGCGATCAATTCTGCATATGACACCACAGGGTCTGCAAGTATCGCTAATTCAGTAGCCGTAGATCAGAAGACTGGTGGGTCGGCGGAACCTGCCGTAAAAATTGTCCGACCTTCTTATGTGGTAGATAAGCACAAATTATCGAGCTACTCTGGCTATGGTACCGGACACATTGCTAATGCAGTCGCCATCGATAAAGGGGATAATGAATTTAAAAAGCCTGGCAACATTGGGAAAACAGACACAATCTTCTACGGAACGAATTCGGTTAATGGAGCAGCACATTACGGCAACGTCGCCAATGCGGTGGCTATAGACGAAGCAACATCTTACCCCAAATTAATTGCTTCAGACACCTCTGACTTTCGACAAAAAGCTGCTTTGCCATATTCAACTTACTACAGCTACGGCACTCCTAACGTCGCAAACGCAAATGCTATAGATTAAGTCATGTTCGTCAAGAGCTAGAACACCAAGATGACGATGGGTACGTAATAGACTCCAAAATACTCGTAATAAACGAGTAAGCGTTCATTCTCGTTAATGTGCCATACAAAAATACAGAAAGTGATTATAGAATTGGTGCCTAGAATTTTTAAAACCTTCATTATCATTCTAGCTTTGAAGACAACGTACTGAATTACGTCTTAAAATTTCTTAACATTTTTGGATAAAGATTTCTATTTAATTTCCGCTTTAATAATGATGCATACGTAGTTACTTTTCTGTCGTAGCGATTATTACTACAGTTATTTTCTATGTGCTTAGTAGTAAAAAAATACGCAAGGATTTCAGCTAATTTATATTCTTATTTTAAAATTACAATCTACATTACCTCAGACCAGTGCGTAATTCTGAATTCTACCACTACATTACGAATTATAAACAAACGTTATACTAGAATCGCGTGAAGCAATAATATCGCCATATTAAAATGATCATTCAGTCTACATAACGTTAACAATCTGACAGTCAAAAAGATATCTGGTAAAGACTTCTCTAATCTACTCATCTCGCTCAATTAAAGAATTATCCTAATACCCACAAATTAGGTCGAGTAGGCAAATTCTCTTCAACCAGACTTTCACCCCACGGATCGTCTCAACAGTCGCCACTTTAGCCGTGGTCACTATCGGTTACATACTGGCGCCACTGTCCTAAAAACACGCGGCCCCGATTGACGTCGAATTGATTGTTACTAATCTTTGCCACTATTTATATTCACTTAACTTGCACGCACGGTAACGCGCGCTGTCCGTTGTTGGCGTGGTCCTATTCCGTAAAATTGCGAAGGCCGTAACGCACTGCAAGGAGCACGTGCACCCGAGCCTGACGGCAGGCCTTATAAGCGTTGTCACCACCCACGGCAGTCGACTTCAACCTCTATATTAAACATCATCTCAGAAGGCCAGTGGGTATAACGAGATTAATTGGCGACCGATTGGACACGAGACATGGTCATAACCGAATAATATATGTTAACAAATTAACAACACGTCAGATCTGAGGCCATATTTCTAGGGTATATCAATAATAAAGATGCTTAAGGACTTGATCTCTCTAACCACCATTCATTTTACTCAACACAAAATTTTCTCGTTTGGAAAGGCAGAGAAGTTGGCTTTGAAGATATAAAATTAAATCCAACACTCCTATATGCATTTTTGGTGTAATAAATATGCTGAATTTAAGCTTTACACTTTGACAGTACCATTCCCCGATATTTATATATGCTTATTACATAGTATCCGACATTGTGCCACAGCGACCTTTTTCATAAGAATCTTTGGAAAGTAGAATTTGCTCACTCGTTAGCTTTACTTCTTCTCCAGGTATCTATAATTCGAATATCTAAGCAACACAATCTGCGAACTCCATTACGCAACACAGTATATTCCTTATCCCACATTGGAGCCAATTTATGTGGGCACATCAACACGCGATCAAATTTCTTGGCAACTATGACAAGCCAGCTAAGGCAGTCTGTCACGGCAGTCGCTCCGCGAAAAGGATCGTATCACGTGCCGTAGATCAGAGACTGGTGGGTCTGCGGACGCTGCCGTAACAAATTGTCGCGACCTTCTTATGTGGTAGATAGCACAAATTATCGAGGCTAGCTCTGGCTATGGTACCGGACACTTATTGCTAATGCAGTCGCCATCGATAAAGGGTGATAATTGAATTTAAGAAACGGCTGGCAACATTGGGAAAACAGACCACAATCTTTCTACGGCACGAATTCGGTTAAATGGAGCAGCACATTACGGAACGTCGCCAATGCCGGTGGCTATCGACGAAGCAACATCTTACCCCAATTAATTGCTTCAGACAACCTCTGACTTTTCGACAAAAACTCTTTTTGCCTATTTCAACTTACTAGCAGCTCGGCACTCTAACGTCGCACACACGCAATCGCTAATCACGATTTAATCATGTTTCGTCAGAGCTAGAACACCAAGATGACGATGGGTACGTAATAGACTCCAAAAATACTCCGTAAAAACGAGTAAGCGTTCATTCTCGTTAATGTGCCATACAAAATACAGTATATATATATATATATATATATATATATATATATATATATTATATATTATATATATATCATATATAAATATATAATGTTTGGCATGATATTTGAGCAAGGAGAACTGAAATGTACAAAATACTCCACATTTACAGTTCAGATTATACCTAAGTCAAATTCAATTGAATTTGTTGATATTTTGACTGTTGTATAATTTTTATTTATGTTTCATAGAATTCCGAAGGTCTTTTTATGTAGTGTATAAAGAA